TATTATCTACTATTCAGCTATGCCATCAGTTACCGTACTTATTAATTATATCTGCTCTTTAATAGAAAACTTTCTTCTTTCTGTCATCTGAATCAGCAGGGGCCCCATAAAGATGTCCCAGAGGAACCACGTGACTCTTTGATGTGTGCATTGAGGGATACTATTGAATTGAAAGTGATTGTGTTAGAGGGCCACATTCAGTATGTTTGTGTGCTTATATCTCTTGGTGGCATTGGGCTAATGCATGGAGATCTCTATTGTGCTGGGTGCAGATATTGTCTTTAACTCATGGGTTCCCAGGTTTTTAGTGCTAGTCTTATAGCTGGAAGAATTTTCTCACCACAAACAGCCTTTCCCTCATAAGAATGACACTCACAACACTGACAGCCCACTCATCCCTACCAATAAAAAAGAGAAGAGGATATTACAGTGGAACCTCAGTTTTACAAACACCAGTCTTACAAACGGCCAGTTATAAGAATAATTTTTTTCCATCAGGAAAAAAACTAAACACATAAGGCAGGTAGCGGTGACAAAGAACAAGTCAACATCCCTTCACATTCCGATGCCTTTGGTGCATTGGAAAGCCCTTTGCAGTGGTTTGAAGGACAAGAAGAACGTAATGCAGTGCACCAGACTGCAACCTATGCACCAGACTTCCTGTAGATTTGAGGTGTTAAATTTTACGAACTTTTTGATTTTATGAATTCCTCAATCCACTATTAGTTCATAAAATAGGGGTTCTACAGCAATAAACTCTAACTTGAAAAGAAAAGTCCTACCCCAAACCAAATTTTTATCCAAAAAGGGAGACGAGCCGGAGACTCCATGAAGGCTTTCACTGTTGCTATTGTCTCTACATGGAAGGCACCCAGATACTATGGTGATGGACAGTGCTATAAAACCTAAAAGAGAAAAAACACTTGAGCAACTTTAAGTTAACAGTGTTTTGTGTGTGGGAATATATATATTAGTAGTTATGGTAGATCAGTGTAGGATCGGGAGCTTATCCATCTTGGCAGCTATTGTCATGAGTTAACTTTACGTGGTGATGCAGCATTGGACCATCTTGTGGTGCTGGGGCACAGAAAGGGGAAGAGAACATTGGCAGGAGAAGAAATATACAGTATCTGAAAGGAGTTTGGATTCTCAAGCAGGCCCACAACGAGCCACATGAACGTCTATGAGTCAGCAGCAAGGGTTTGAAACCGAGACCTCCAGCACCAAACCACAGACTTCACTTACTAAAGGAGTAACTCCCTTAGCTGGATACAGTAGTAGGCAGTTATCCTCTTTGTCAGTGGTGTCCAACCTCCACTCCCTCCCAATTCCACTCCCATTCCTAGACCCATCTCCACAAACTCCCATTCTCCCTTCTCATCCCTCCTGAATTCAGTTATTGTCTTCCCCCCACTCACACACTGTAGGTGCCATGACAGGGAATAAAGTTCATTGGACCATTTTGTTGCCTTCAAAGGAGAAGGGGAACCAGTGGCAGAGATGCCAGTTCTTCCCCTCTCACCTTGGGAGGGTGGTAGACCCAGCAAGGGGAAAGACCTTTCTGAGAGAAGAGGTGAATTGGGATCTCCTCGCTGGGACATCTCTTCTTCCCCTGTCAAGGGCTCCTGCTTCTCCCCCGACTGTGGGAAGGCTGGGAGCCCTCAGAAGCTGCTACAAGGCACCAACATCTGCTGCCCCCACTTCAGATTCCCAAGCCTGGTGAGTTGGCAAACCCAGTGAGGAGGTGGAAGGAGGGAAAGCTCCAAGACACTCCTGGTTCTCTCCATCAGGGAGAGGTAGAGAAGCTCGTGTCTTACTTTAACCCCTGTGTACATTGTCTCTGCTTGTAGTCCTATTAACAGTGTCATAACATATTTACCTATTGAATGTTATTCCAAGGGATCTCAAAGCACTTTCCAAACATTATATTATTTTATTTAATTAATTTGTATTTAACTAATAAAAAGATGCCTATGGAAGATTTTAGCACCTTACCAAGTAATCATTATTTTGAATTATTTGTACTGTAGTGGGCTGCCATGGCCCAGGACCCCATTGTTTTAGGTGCTGTACAAACAGAACAAAAAGTCCCCATGCCAAAGAATTTGCAGCCTAAATAATAAGTTCAGGAAAGTCCCAGCAGCATTGAAATTAACTTTTCAAACAGGAATGCAGTCACCTGCAAAAAAAGCTCCTTTTTGCCCCTTCATCATTCTGGGAAGCAATCCTCAGCCCTCTCCGAAATGCACATCAAACAGATATCTTTTGCAGCAAAGGTGTCAGGAATCATTTCACCCAACACTGAAATGCAGCTACTTCTGGGGCCAAACAGGGTCACTTTAATAGTTTTCCAAGGATGGAGACCTAGGAATGTTAGTCTTTGGCCTTTGAGAGTGGCCTGGGAAAGGTGGTTCAGAGGAAGGTATAAAACACTCAAGGTCAAATTCACTCCTGGTGTAACTACACATAGGGCCAGATTATCAGAGGTATTATTTTCAAAAGCATCTGAAGTGCCTAACTCCCATTGATTTCAATGAGTTAGGCAGCTCACCTTTGGAAATCTGGCCTTTACTGTCCTCAGTGGAATTACACAAGGGCTGAATTGGCCATCTAATCATGTGTCACTGTACCATGGGAGCAGATGCCTTCCTGACCCAAGGTGGGGATCAGTTTATGCTCTGAAGTTTATACACTTTATCGCCAGGCTCTATGGTTTAATGAGTAGCACATTGGCCTTCTAGATTTATGACAGAATAAGTTATTCAATGGGTTTGAGTTTGAGCCACATTTGGGGGTTAGACTAGATGACCCTTGTGGTCTCTTTTAACTCTATGGCTCTACAAAGCATTAATCTTTATAATTTGGATCTGTTAATATAATTGCAATAGCTTCATACAACTCTCTATATTCATGGGAGTGTATAATATAGGAACACAACTGGGCTTTTTTGCCCTTAAGAACTTTATATGGCAACAAACTGAAACAGTCTTTCAAAAAGTGTAGCTTGGGACTCAAATTACTTAGGCATTGGCAAAAAAAGTGACTGGGGCTAATCCCAGTGGATCTGAGCTTGCTGATGGTACTCAGGCAAAAATCCTAGAAAGCTTTAGTATGAGTTTTATTTGAATGACGACTACAGGATCAAGAGCATAGGGATAGATATTTTGTTTTGTTTTTTCAATTTTGCCATGGGAGTTTAGGGCCTGATTCAGCACCCACTGAAGGCAATGGAAATGTGTCCATTGTTTTCAATGAGCATTGGACCAGGCCTTATAAGGGAAACTGACCAATGTAATAACATTGCAATAACATACATTGAAGACGTATTTCATAATTTTATTGGAAAATTAAATAACTCTATTACAGATTAATTAAAAATATTCCACACATTTATTTAATACAGTAAAAACAATTTGGCAATTTGCTAATTACAGAAGTTGCTATTTACAGAAACAAAGATAGCTCCCTACAGTATAAATATTTTCTCCAGCTCTCTGCAGCCGACATGTCTCCAGGAAGTTACTGTTGAACTTGAAGAAATTACAATATTTGCTTAGCAATGTGTTTTGCTATTTCTAATGTCTATCCTGCATCGTTAACCTTTATCATACACAGGTCCAGAGCATGTGACAAAGTGGAAAAAGGCATCAAGACATGGCAGACATTTGCCATGTACGCACAGCAGAAAGAGCTGTTCCTGCAGCCTGGGCAGCATGGTCTCCCTCTCGCTTTAGAAAGGGTAGGGGGCAGGGGAGTGTAATGGGCCATGCTGGACAACTGCCCATGCAGGAACTGGTGTGCCAGGCAGGTGTTGAATCAAGGCTGAGGAACAGCTCTGCCACTATGTGCCCAAGCACTGTTGGGGACCCCTTGGTACTGGGGTGGGACCTGACCCTTAGGGCTGCAGGCCTGCAAATCTGGAGCCCATGCAAATAGAGTAATACCATATTTGCATATTTGATAAATATGTATTAGTTCATTTGCATAAAATCTCTCTCTGCCCACCCCCATTCCAGGTTCCTTTGCCCCAGCTCCTCTCCTTCCACTTCCCCTCCTCCCCCTCCAGGTTCCAGCCCCCTCTCTGAATCCACCCACAGACATGCTTGACCATACAGCCCCTGCCTAAAGTGTAATCCCCAGCTCCCACCCGATCTCCTGGGCTCAGGGAGGAATGTGCTCTTACTGTCCTGGAGGACTTTTGGGGGGTCTCTATAGTTTAGTGTCGTAGTGGCTATGAACGACACTAACCATAGAGGAGCAGTCTACAGAAACCCAGGTCCCTGGAAAGGGGCACTAGACGGATACGCAGATCGGGAGCGGGCCTGGCCTGGGAACCAGCTGCAGAGGATGCCCCCCGCCCTCCAAGCATGGAACAGAACCCTGAAGTCCTGACTCTCAGACTCCCCCCTCCCCCGTTCTAACTACTAGATCCCACTCCCCTCCCACAGCCAGGGATAGAATGCAGGAGTCCTGGCTCCCTGCTCCAACAACTAGACTCTAACCAAACAGAGGTGTTTTCTAAAAATGGTTCTGCCTAAAATGCTCAGGATTTTATGTTATAGCCCTGCTTAAGCCAAGTTCTGCTCGGTCCCAATGGTTTGTATATACAGAAGCACCCCCCACACCTTCCCTGCATTTTCACCACAGGCCGGGCGGCATGGGACCCTTTGAAAAGTCAGCAAGTCTGTAGAGTTTGGTAGCATTCTCCTCTCTGCTGCAGTCCCATGGGTGGAGCCTGGAGGTGGAGCCATTTCAAAGCTGACTGCCTGGCTCCCCCCTTATCTGACATGTTATTAAACTGATCGTCACAAGAGCTGTGCATAGGTGCTGGAACTAGGGGTGATACCGCCCCCCCGGCTTGACGTAGAAATAACAACCCAAATACATGGTATCCACCTTCAGCACCCTCACTATAAAAGTTGTTCCAGCACCACTGGGGCTGTGGAGAACAGGTACACCGAGTCCAGATGCAAGTCAGTTGCAGGCAGAAAGGGCTCTTGTTAGTGACAACCACAACTCGTGGCCACCATGTCTTTATAATTCTTAAGGACAACATTCTCATTGTCGTCAAAGTACATAATGCTGATGGAACTCAGTTTGTCTGGGACACAGCACGGCGTGCTGACGTCTTTGGACAGTTTCAGCGTATGCACTATGGACTGGACGGTAGCATGGTTGGTCGCTCTTAGACTTTCCCCTAAGGGGAACAGGCAGGCCCCTTTGCAATAATAAGCCTTGTAGCCACGTGGGGAAATGATCCACCCTGCCCAACCAATTTCATGGAAGTCGACGAAGAGATCATTGAGCTGGCATGGCACAATTTGGTCTTTGGGGGAGAAGAAGGCGGTATCCCGAATTCTTCTGCTTTTGTTCACTCTGATGTTTGCAAAGACCTCATTTTGGTGAGGTAGGTGTGATGAAGTATCGTCTTCAGGCAAGGATGGCTGGAATTCTGAAAGCAAGAGGACATGACAGGGGTAAGTAAACCTTTGTCATGAAGAACACAATATTTCTGTCAATACGTTGGGAGGAGTTTATTGCTCTCAAAGGAGACAGTCCCCATGAAATACATAGATTTAAACAAAATGGGTAACGACCATGACACTTATGCTTCATCTATACCACGAGTAAGGGTTGTGGTTGCTCCTGTCCGTATACACATAGGCTAGCTTTCATTGAGCTAACACGAATACAAATAGCAGCGCAGCCACAATAGTGCAGGCAGCTGCAGTGGAGGCACGGCGTTGCCAAGTGCATGCTACCCATGGCTTAGTCATGTCTCCACTGTGCTACCCGTACTTCTGTGGCTACACTACTACTCAAAGATAGTTAGTGTGAGTATGTATACACAGGCAGGGGAATCACATTCCCAGCTCGGAGTGTAGACATAGCCTTAGACAATGACAGTATTATAAATCTTAAATACTTATACATTAGGCTGCACTTCCCTCAGGACCAAATCCTGAAGTCTTCTTGGTAGAGTCCTAGATTCCAAGGCCAGAAGGGACCATTGTGATCATCTAGTCTGATCTCCTGTGTAACACAGGCCAGAGAACTCCTCCAGAAGGATCCCTTTTGAACTACAGCCTAGCTTTAAAAAAAGTAAAAATCCAATATTGATTTAAAAATTGCCAATGATGGAGAATCCACCACGACCCTTGGTACGTTGTTCCAATGATTCATCATCCTCATCCTGATCCTATGTTCAAAATGCACGCATTATTTCCAGTCTGAATATGTATAGCTTCAACTTGGCATGCAAGACCCAAAAAGCAGTGCGAATACAAAGCAAAGGGTCAGGAAATCATGAAACAGTTGGAGACTGCACAGCTCCCTGCACTACGGAGCCAAGTCTGGTTATGTCTCTGTATAAGAAGGCGGAGGGGAAAGAAACAGAGAGAACCAGAGAAACATGGACTGCCCAGATTTATTGACCACAAATTGTAGATGGGGCAAAGGTTCCCTACACTGAGAAGCAGGATTCTGTCTCCAAGCCACAACATAAAGTCCTTTTACTGGACAGGAGCCAGAATTTCACTGTAAACTTGACACTAGGCAGGTCTGTTTTACTTTTTTTTCTAGTCAGTTTCACTGTCTGGTTCTCATGAGCCAGCACAATGTTGTCTTGTTTGGGTCCTTTCTGATGTACAAATAAGGCTGGAAAGTTTATTTTTAAGTTTTATTTATTTGGACGTATCAGGACTGTAAAGACTAATCTCTCTTAGCTCTGGTAGAGGATCAGTGGGAGGTGTAAGGGATGTTTGTTGTAATTTAAGAGGTGAGGTATTGAACAGTCAACAAAGACTTCCCTTATTCAAAGTGTCAGTTAGTCATTGCAGTTAAATCAACGTTTTAGAATACAAACCAAAAGCAAAAGCAAAAAAAGCTTTAAACTGCCCGACTAAAAATCCCTTCCCCTCTGGACAGCTGAACTTCCATTTTGTGATATCACCATTTGCATAAGCTCTCCAGTCATGTAGAATCTTCCAGCCTAGACAGGACCTGCAAGGCTAATGTAAATAAAGAAGCAGCAGAACCCTTCCTCCTTTTTAAACAAACAAAACAAAACACCCTTTTGGCTTTTATTATGAGTCATAAAGAAGCAAAAGTAGATATAAACACAATATATTTTTCCTTGGCAGGTCACTTTCTTACCTAAATAAAATAACTAAAAGTTTTCTACTCCTTTTCCTTGCACAGATAGACCTAAAATTGTAACTCAGCCCCTAAGGAAACCCTGGCCAGCCTCCTGAGTGAGGGACCAAGAAGCCTCCTTAGTTTCTCCGAGGGCTTTTGCAGACCTCAGAAGGTCCACAGGAGTGAAGGGGTTGCCTTCCTGATCTTCTGTTCCCCAAGCTTAGTGCTCACCGAGTCCCTCCTCTCTGTGGACCTCCTGAGAGGATTTGTAGCTTGCAGCAATAACATTCCCCTCTGAGGTACCGTAGGAGGTTTGTCAAGTAGAGAATACAGATACTGCATAACTCCATTTTCTAACCGCTTATGGCCCTGTCAGGATGTTAGATACATAAGAAGTGACAAATCATCACACTTAGTATTAAAGACATGATTGTGGGAAACAAAAGATAAAAACCAACGTTCTCTCAAGCATGCTTTCGATAGTCTACAGGGAAAGAAGGAAAGATAGTATGAACATCTCTCTACAGGGGCTGAGTTAAGGTGGCTTGAGTGCCTCGTTTGAGAAGTGCAACCTTACCTTTGCATTCCTGGGTTCTCATTTTTGTTTGTGTTATTCTGTTTGTTGTTTACCTGCTTGAAAGGTAATATGCACTGAAGCCTGATATGAACCTGCAACCTTAGCTTCATAGCCATCACATTTTTTGTGGGAGATAAATTTAATAAATAGGAAACCTTTGTAGTATAAATTCCAATTTTTTTCTTTAACTTACTAAAACGTTGCATGGTGGACACATGCGCACACACACACAAACACACAATCTGAGTGACACTTCCAGCCTGTCTTCCCTTCTGGCCCTCTTCTCTCCCTTCCTCCAGTGTATTTCCTTTCCCCCCTTCTGCTTGCTACCCTCCCTATCATTTTGTGTCCTCTTTCCCAGCACTACCTTGCATCCCATGAGGTCCTGAACTCCACATATTGGTGGAGTTGACATTGCATGCTCATAGGCTGGGAGTCATTGGTTCTACACCTTTGACTAGAATGGTGGGCATGAAGAGAAGACATACTTAGGCCGGGTCTGTAGACTGAAGATTACAAACTTTTGTTGGCATAGCATAGCTGTGTTGGTCAGGGATGTGATGAGTTGTGTTTTGGGACTGACATAGCTGTGCTGGTAAAAGCACCTAGTGTAGATGCAGTTATACCAGGCAAAACTGCACTTTTGTCAGTATAACTTGTTTTGCTCACGGTGGGGCTCGAATAAGCTTCAGTTTTGCTGGTTTAAACTGCCTCCAAACTAAGAGTGCTTTGCCTGTATAGAATACTAGTATAACTATACCAGCAAAGCGCTCCTAGTACAGACCTGGCCTAAAATGTCTGGTGACCCACTACAGGAGGTAAATAATAAAATGATTATATCAAAGCAAGCTTCTGACAGTGGCAAACCAGAATCAGTTTCAGTGTCAGAAACTGCATGTGACTAATGAAACTATCTGCAGAAAATGCATGAGGAAGTAACGGAACTAATTAAAGGGAGCGTCTGTTCAAAGAGTTATTGTTGCATTGTCTTACCAGTGGAAGAGGGCAGGAAGCTGGAAGATTTCTGTCTGTCATTATTGGTGAAGAGGACCAAGAAAGCATTCCTACTGTCTCGCATATTGTGCCGGCTCTTGGCAAACTTGACGAAGTTGGATTCCATTTTGGTTTTAGATAGATGAGTTGTAGTGATCAAAAAGCCATGGTTAGTGCTGCTGTTTCCAAACCATTTGGAAACCTCGGAACAAAAAAGAAAAGTGGAAAAGATCATTTGAATAAGTCTGTCTCATTAGGACTAAGTAATATTTATATGGGGGAAGAAGGAATAAGCTAAAGGATTGTCAGGAGATATGTATATTATTATGAAGACAATAGTTGTGACTACCTAGTTAAGGTTAAATTGAGTTTTGTACTTAAACCAGGGACTCACCATCTTTGTGTTGTATGAAGTATACAGTGTAACTTCCCCAAAACCACAGCCCTTACCTTTAAATACAGAATTATTTTTTGGAGAATTTACTAATACATTGATTGATTAATCTATGAGTTAAAATTAATTTTAAAATTGATCCTTGCCAAGAATTTAGAACCCTTTTTCAGACCTTTCTTTTCCCAAGTAATCTTAATAATGGAATAATACAGACTCCAGACTTTCCATATTGTTAAAACTCATTTAAATCTCACACGCAGGCTACGTCTGAAGAAATTAGCAATCAAGCTAAGTTATTAACAATAGCTGAATCTGACTATTATGATTGTGGACTAACAGGTAAGACTAAGTCACTGGCTCAGGTCACTCTTGGCTGAAGCCATTGCAACATCAGAGGCAATTCAACCAGTCATCCACAGCATGCTTGTGAATCTGATCTTAAACATAGAATAAAATAATTAGATAAGGCTGATAGTACAGATTTTCAACTCATTACTGATATCAGATGGTTAATTTTGTTTTTTAAGTGAAATTCCCACACCAAAAAAACAGATTCAGCTGGAGATAAGGTTGAGAGCACATATCAATAATGTAAGGGCATCTCCAAAACATGTATTACAAACCAAAGAGATTTAGAGTTAAGGTTACATTTATAAGGATCCAGAGATATTAAGGTATGGAAAATACAAAGCTAAAGCACCCAAATAACCTTAACTCTGCCCTACAGTGATGCCATGAGCATAAAAAGAAAATGAAAAACCAATTTCTCTGAAGAAATCGATGCCATCTATCTTGGGACCGCAAACATTAAAATGCTTTAATCATAATTATGTAGTTATTGTATGCTGTTACTATGAGCAGAGTTAAGGTCATTTGGCTGTTGCAGGCCGTATGCTGCTACCAGTTAATAAGCTCAGGTTATCAGACTTGTGGCTTTGGAGCTAGAGAATTTAAGGTTCTGTCTCTGCTAGTGCCCTGAAGTTTTGGTATCCAGCATGAAGTTCCTAGCCCATGGCCATGAATTTGTTACAATATCTTTAGCATAAAAAGCAACGGAATTAAGAATTCTCCGCTTACTGTCTGCGTGACATTGAACACCTCCCAGCCTTCGGTATACAAAGACAGTAGTCTGGATGAAATGAGATTTCTTCTCTGCAGCTTACTTCCCCTGTCCAAAAGCTCATACACATCCACCTTGAATATGGTAATACAACAAAACAAAATTAAATGGGGAACAATTGATGGTCTCCAGCAAAGAGGTCAGCATCAAAGAAACACATTTCCTCCACTTCCAGGATGGATTCACCCTGTCTGTTGACCTAGACTGAAACTAAAAAGTTGCTTCTGGTCAGCTTCCCATAAGGGCAAGAAGTAATGTAAATCTACTAAATACCTACAGATAGGTCTATCTAGATCCCTAACCCTAGATAGATATATACCCCTAATCCTCAGTATTTTTTTAGGGGTAAGTAATAAATAAGAACCTGTATATCTGGTAATCATAATGAAAAAATACATAACAAAAAAACCAGTGAATATTCTCTCAGCACTTGGATATTATCTCATGTACTAAGAGCCACACAAAAAGAAATATCTGCAAATGGAAAAATCACCTGACCATCTATTTTTTGTCTCTTTTGACTACTTGATATTGTCCCAAGTTTCCTGTTGCCCCACATATTTGCCCATTGGGTTTACAGGCCACCTAATTCCCTAGAGATGGACTGGAGGGAGCTGCAGAATTTGGATCTGGATTGCAAATTTCTCAAAAACCGGGATAGCTTGGCTGTGGTTTGAGCTCACCTTCAGGGATCACTGAACTGTCCTGTTTGCTTTTGCACAGATAAACCAGTAGATTGTTTGGCAGCATGAATGTTTCATTGAAAAAAGCTCAAGGAAAAAAAGGAATAGCATAGCAACAAAACCAAAAACCTGGCTGTATTGCTTTGCTTGTTGAAGTCAAACTTCTAAATTGCTGGCAGTAATCACATAAAACACAGGATAGTTTCATGGGGTAGTTGGTTTCAGTCTCATTTCTTTCATGCTTGATTTTTTTAACTCTGTTAGCTTAAAGACACTGTCTGTTGATTAATTAGTCATTTGTTATTATTGTTAATAATATAATCGCCCACTTACTTTGAGAAAATGTTGCCAAAAAGATTTTTGAGGCACATGGTTTTTATTTAGCTTGAAAACTCTGAGCTCAGCTTTTAGCATTTGTTCATTCCTCCCAACCGAAGAGATGTTGAAGTAGAAATAAGACTGATCAAAATAATCTGGAAAAAAACCCAGGACTATTAATAACCAGTCCAACATGCAAGACACAGAAAGAATACTCTGATTTTCCAGGAAATGGCAATATGTCACCTGCAGTAACAGGAAGAACTATTCAAATGTGTGTGTTAAAATAGTGATAGACTTAAGACAATGAAGTGAAAATAGAATTAAAAATAGATCTTCACAGCAAACCAAAAGCATATAACCATGCAAAAGCCAGGCCGCTAATAAAATGGAGCAAATTGAATTTTCTGTGCACAGGATATTTTAAAAGAATTAAAAAAAATAATCAGACCTGTGTTTATTCTGAATTCGGGATGCCCCTCCCCCCCCGCATTCACTAAGTAGCAATGAGTTTGTATCAAAGGCTTCCATATAAAAGTTTAATCTACAGGGGTCATGTATACACAAAACACCTTACATCACACAACATCCTTCCACATTCCTACACATGTACACACCAGCATACTCTTCATTCCCCCCACCACCACCACCACCCACCCATATACAGCCCTGCTCTCCCCACAAACCCATTAGCTTCAGTGGAGTTACACCAGGGGTGAATTTGCCTCCCTAGCTTTGTCTTGTCCCACTTATCCTAACCCAGGCTCCTTCTCTGTGGCTTACCTCGGTCTTCAAGGCTCCGCACCACGTTGCCTTCCAGCAGCCCTGGGACCTTCGTGATCCCGTTGGAATCTGCCACCTTATTGAAAAGATCTACCATAAACTGTGGTGGCTTCCTGTGAGGCAGGACATCATGGGGCAAGGCCTCAATGTCAAAGACCTCCTGCAGTCTCCGCATGGCTTCGGCGAGAATCCCTTTCCTCTGCGTCCGCACGGGTACCCTGGACAAGCGAGCGGGGTCACAGAGCAGCAGGAGCAGCAATGCGAGGCAGCTCCAGGCCTGGGATGCCGCCATGTCAACTGGATCCGCTTCGGCTGTTACAGGAGAAGTGCAGCTGCAGCTCAGGTGTGCTCTGGTCTGGAGTCTTTGAGGAGTGCAGAGCTCCAGCAGGTACTTGTCACTGGCAGCCAAGCCTCCCAAATGGGCTGAGAAATCCACCCCACATTTGCATGACAAATCTGAGCACCCACTTGGTGGTGGTGTGGTCATGGGCGGAGTTCCTGCAAGTGACAAAGTGGACAAGCAACACAACTAGCTGGCTAAACAGCCTGAATCAACACCTCTGACTTATTGCTTTATTCCAGGCCTTTGTCAGCATCCCTGCTGCAGCTAGCCACACTCCAGTCACCAGAAGAGGGTGGGAAAGATGGACTTTTCTGTTCTTTCTAGGTCTAAGATACAGTCCCCCTTTTCAGTCCTTGGCCTTAAACCTGATAACCGTGCTAAGCATGCACTGCTTTCCCTAATCAAACACCCCATTGGATGGTCCTTTCCCTGGCCAGCTGGGTTATGCAGGGATGGTCTTGTAATGAGACCCACACCCTACCCCCATTATTGAAGTTTAAGGACTGTGAAAGTACACATACAGGGATTCAGTCTCAATTAGGGGAGTGTCATTTCCACTCTTGTAAGCATCAAAGAAGCCATTTGTTTGTAGTTCCCTGAATGTGCAATACCTTCAGTGATAGGAGAGATCAGTTTCTGTTCCTCCAGCTGCTTCTCTTCTTTGTCCTTCTGTACCCCTCATGCACTATTCGTTAGAGCAGGAAGGAAAGATGGGCTTGTGGTTAAGGCACTGGAGTGGGGCTCAGGAGATCTACGGTCAGTTCCCAGCCTCAGAGAAGAAAAGGCAGAAGTTGGCTGTGTATGAACCACCCAGTGGTTTAAAGCAGTAGTTCTCAACCAGGAGTCCAGGGCCCACCGCGGGGTCGCGAGCTGGTTTCAGGGGGTCTGCCAAGCAGGGCCAGCATTAGACTTGCTGGGGCCCAGGGCAGAAAGATGAAGCCCTGCTGTATGGGACCACTGCCACCTAGGGCTGACGCCACAGCCTGAGAAACTTAGCTTTGTAGGGCCCTTTGTGGCGTTGGTCCCTGGGCAATTGCCCTGATTGCTACCGCCTAATGCTGGCCAGGGCTTTTATATGCAGAAAAACAGTTGTGGCACAGGCAGGCCATTGGGGGTGGGCCTCAGAAAGAAAAAGGTTGAGAATGCCTGGTTTAAAGGGCACACAAGGAGAGTGAACAGAAGCAGCAGCGAATTCCCTTCATTTTCATCTTGGCCTTATAAAATGCAATTCACAGAGGCAGGAGTGGATGTGGCACTAAAATGCAGTATCAGATGGAGTGAGAAATAAACCCAAATCTTAGGCCAGAGGCAGGTAACCTATGGCACACGTGCCAAAGGCAGCACACGAGCTGATTTTCAGTGGCACTCACACTGCCTGGGTCCTGCCCACCGGTCCGAGGGGCTCTGCATTTTAATTTAATTTTAAATGAAGCTTCTTAAACATTTTAAAAACCTTATTTACTTTACATACAACAATAGTTTGGTTATATATTATAGACTTATAGACAGACCTTCTAAAACCATTAAAATGTATTACTGGCTCGCGAAACCTTAAATCAGAGTGAATAAATGAAGACTCGGCACACCACTTCTGAAAGGTTGCCGACCCCTGTCTTAGGCCAACTAAGCCGCCGAATCGCTCTACCCCAGGAGTCTAATCGTGTTATTGTTCCCTGATACCAGCCCTTCCTCACCAGGTGAAGGACAACTACCAGTTGAGTCCAGAAACAATTGAAAGAATCATTATGTGCATGTACAGTGCCTAGCACAATGGAGCTGGGGACTCAATGCTAACATAATACAAATAAATAATAATAATACAGAAGAACAGCTGGGTCTGATCCAACCCCCCTGGGCCAGGCACTCCCACATTTTGCATGTATGAGGCTCAGATTCTGGATCTGGAATTGACACTGTCCAGGTCTATCTCTGCCTTTTGGGAAGAGCAAAGGAGCCCATTGCCCCTCTGTACCTCGTGCATATGCAATTGAGCAACATGGCACGGAGAGTTTTGCTATTGTCTTTTCTGTTTCCCTTGTGCTGTTGTAAGTTTTAAAGACGCAGCATGACAACAGGAGCCTAGCAGCTTTGGCGGTCCTCAGCTCTGTAGGATCCCATGCAGGTGACATCCACCTCTCCCTGGCAGCTAAGCATGGTATTACATAAGAAGATGACCTCAGGTGGAACATGAGCAGCAGAAGCAGATGAACTAAGCAACGAAGGACCATGGGGCAGATCCTCTGTCTCCATGCAGATATCTCTTAGGCTTTGTCTACATGAACATGTAATTTAAATCAGTGTCTAAACCAATTTAGTTAAGCTGGTGTAGGCTCTAGTGTGGATGCTCTTATATTGGTTTAAGTGGCTTACTGTGAGAGCGCTAAAACCAATTTCTAATTGATTTATGTTAAACTGCAATAAGTCCTTCTTACATGGAAATAAGAGCATTCACACAGGGGTCTGCACCAGTTTAACTAAACCACACCTTGAGTGAAAGCAATGCAATGTTCTCAAGTAGACGAGACCACAGTAAATAAAACTGCACAGAACCAGTTGCCTGCAACCCATCCCCTCTCAGGAACTAGGTGAAATATCAGTGGAGTTGCGTCTAACAGAACATTTGTAGTGTTTTCCAGGACATGTTGTGTAGTGATGGCCAGAACTCGTGCATTCTCAGCTCTGCCCCTAGGACAAGTCACTTCATTGCTCTGCATCTCATTTTTCCCCATCTGTAAAATGGATCTAATAATAATGAAACTGGGCCTCTCTTTGGTGCTTTCCATATGAGGGAATGAAAGGATTTTACAGAACTTGTTTCGTTTAGTGCCATGATACATTTGTATCAGGTAACAAATCTGTTGCTCCCTGAGACTTCATGGTGGTCACTGTGCTGCACACTGCGGCCACTTGTCACTTCGGGGTAACAACCAGTAGAGAATTTAGATCTTCCTGCTCTAAAAGCACAAGCCACTACCACTCGGAGGAAGAGAATACCTACTAGCTGCTAGCAGAATAGGGCTTGTGATACACAACTGAGCACTTAGAAATCCATCCAGTAGAGGGCCGTGGTACACCTCCTCACTAGCCAGTTCCTTATAGTATTATCAGCCTCATTTTGCAGATGGGGAAACTGAGGCAAAGAAAGGCTGAATGATTTGCCGGGGTCACACAGGAAGTCTGCAGCACAGTCAGGCAAACGACCCAGCTCTCTGGAGTCCTAATTATTAGCAGACTATCCTTCATACCTGGGCACAGCATGCTTATCGTATGGCTTAACACATTGCTTATAAAAACATTGGTGTGAAAACTAAGTGTGAAGTATAAATTATTTTGATTTTAAAATAAGGCAACTCTACAAACTGAGCATTTTACTAACGCACACTCTTATTAGAAAGATAGATAAATCTATTCAGAGTTCAGGAATGTCACTGTGTGTGTCACATGAAGCCTAAAATGTCTGGTAAGTCAGTATAACACGATGGAAGCAACTGCAAGTGTGGCTGAGAGTTCTTTGTGTTCAGTATATCAGCAAGGTGAATCGTTACTGGGTGTCATGGTCTGTTACCATTCAATTGTTAAGATCTGAGCCATTTTGACTTTACACATTACACCTACATGGTGCACAGCTGCAGTAAGGTGTGACTCTATGCCATGCCAAGAGTCCTAGACCATTGTGATATCAGAGTTGACTCAACCAGTCATCACCCTTACTCTACAGCTAATTTGAATGCAAAGATTTCATTGGTTATTTGAGCGAGAGACTGCACAGATCATGAATTACTTGGCTCAATGGCCACACCCGTGCTCCCAATTGCCACCTGCACAAATCAACACAAATCTCCCAGCACAACCCCCCGACACAAACCAACACAATCCCCCACACAACAACACAATCAGCACACAATGACCCCCCAAACACACATTGCTGCAGCACACACCTTTTATTTGCCACCCACACAAATCAACACAACTGTCCCAGCACAATACACACAGTCACTCAACCTCACTCATACTTACCATAAAATCATAAACTTGAGTGGCAAAGCTGTGTGCCCGTTTATAGCAAATGGGTGTGCACTGTGAGCAGGGTTGCATTTGAGAAGGTGGCATATGAATCCATGCGCTTCAGAAACACTGTTCACTAATCCGTCACAGCTAATTGTCAGTCACATTAAAACAAAGCCAAGAAAAAGAAAACATTGATGAGGATAACAACAACATCTCACAGTCGCATAGCACCACTCAGCCTGACAGTTCTCAGGGGTGTAAGAAATCATACATGTACAACAGCACTGAAATGCAGCCACTTCTGGGATGGAGTTTGGCAGCCGGACAGGGAACACCGCAGTGTATAACACTGGTGTAGATGGGAATGATCTTTTTGGCCAACGTTGCAGAGGCAAATCCCTGCTTTTGTGAGAAGAGTCATGGGATCATTAATGTCTATGCTGAAAGGACATAATCTAAAACCATGTTGTTTTGGGGGAGATCCTTCTTAGCATGGCATCACATGCTGTGTATCACTTAGCACATGCCAGTACAAAGCTAGCCCGTATTCATAGAATCATAGAAGATTAGGGTTGGAAGAGACCTCAGGAGGTCATCTAGTCCAACCCCCTGCTCAAAGCAGGACCAACTAAATATCCCAGCCAGGGCTTTGTCAAGCCGGGCCTTAAAAACCTCTAAGGATGGAGATTCCACCACCTCCCTAGGTAACCCAGTCCAGTACTTCACCACCATCCTAGTGAAATAGTGTTTCCTAATATCCAACCTAGACCTCCCCCACTGCAACTTGAAACCATTGCTCCTTGTTCTGTCATCTGCCACCATTGAGAACAGCCGAGCTCCATCCTCTTTGGAACCCCCCTTCAGGTAGTTGAAAGCTGCTATCAACTCCCCCCACTCTTCTCTTCTGCAGACTAAATAAGCCCAGTTCCCTCAGCCTCTCCTCATAAACCATGTACCACAGCCCCCTAATCATTTTTGTTGCCCTCCGCTGAACTCTCTCCAATTTGTCCACATCCCTTCTGTAGTGGGGGGACCAAAATTGGACACAATACTCCAGATGTGGCCTCACCAGTGCCGAATAGAGGGGAATAATAATTTCCCTCGATCTACTGGCAATGCTCCTACTAATGCAGCCC